AGGATAAACGTTGTGCATTACTTATATCTAAAAATATTTTAATACATTAATATTTTAAAAGGTGTTACCCTACACAATTTGCATTCACTGGGAATCAGTGAACAATACCTTTCTTACACTGCCGAAAATTAAAATGTTTCAGATTTATAGAATTTTAATTGTTATATTATATCCGAAGGCACAAATGACAGTTTCGAGATCCGCTGAATTAATAAAATGGAGATGAATTCATTAGAAATAAAACAGAGATTTGACCGTCTTAAATTGACGAGCTCTGGGTGAAAGAGTTTCAGTAACCGAAATAAAGAAATGTCGATGTAGAATTGTATTCTCCATTGAAGAATACTATCACCAAATAATTTAACAATTCTACACCGAACAATTTTACTCTAGCATTTTAGCAACTTTATTCACTACATGAAAAAGGGAATTTGGCACCGGTTCAAACCCCCTCAAAGGCACCGGTTTTGAACTGTTGGGGATTTGAGGGGTGCCAAGTCCCCAAATAATTGGCACCGGTTCAAAACCGGTGCCAACTTAACCCTTTTATTATTATTTTTTTTTTTAAAAAATAATCAGTTGGCACCGATTAACCGGTGCGAACTCTATTCTTTTTTTTTTTAAAAAAAAAAAAAAACAGTTGGCACCGGTTCAACTCTGAAATTTTAACTCGCGCTCGTTTTAGTTGGCACCGGTTTTCATGAACCGGTGCTATAGGGGGGTGCCTATTTAGTTTTTTCTACTAGTGATTATATATCGATGTAGAGGTCTTGATGGAATAGCCTCGGTAACCGAAACCAATATTCTTTAAAATATTGATTGTTTAGGATACACTAATGTAAACAGTTTTAAGCAAAATACAACCTCTAAAGAAAGGCAAGCTATTGAAGTAGACAGGATTCCCAAGTAATCTGCTTAATCTTATACTCCAGATTATGGTTATATCATTACGGTGCACCTTTCTTAGCGGGTTCATCACCCTCATTTACATTATGCTCTGCTGCCGTGAAACGGAGTTTTTTCGCAACTGTACCTTGGGCACAATCTAAACTGCTCTTCGTGTCTCCAACGGGTGCTGGAGTTACTGGAGAATGTTTGGTTCCACTCATGCGTGTACGACAGAGTTCTGTCCATTCAGCAGTTGAAATCTTTGAAGTGTCGACAGTCTCAGCGCTGCCGATAACAACATTACAGCCCCCATCTGTTATAACTACACCTGTGAATAGAGACGTGTACATATAAATTGTTATGAATGGCTTCTTATATCGTAGAGGGATTTTTTATTTTAATATAAGATACGCGGTAAAATAGGTACCTTTTGACGACACTGGGATCCGTGGAATTTGTATTTCCAACATTTGTTTTTTCCCTTTGTCCTCTTTTGAAAATGGCGTGCTCGGTCCACATTCTTGATGTTCTGTTGGTGTCAATTCTCCGTTCTTATTTAAGCCTGAATATTCAATTTCACTATTTTTGGCATTTGTCGATTTTATTGGTTCCTTTTTACATACATTTTCAGCGGTTCCAACAGCTTTGAGTGACCATACTAACACGCTACTTGAACCAAGGGAATTAGATGGTCCTACCAAGGGAATTAGATGGTCCGAGCTTGAAGAAGGTGGGTTTTTTTACGGAGCTTCTCTTCAATTTCTTGAAAGGAAATCACATCATCCTAGATAATGCAATTGAATAAGTATGTGTCAGATACTGATAAACAATACTATAAGTAGGTGTTTAAAACCGGTTGACAGTTTTATTCAAATTTTAAAAATGTATTATGTAAAAGAGTCATACGAAATCCTTCATGCTTTTGATATCGAAAGCGTTTTTTCCAAATAATTTTTTGGTGTCATTATTGAACGATGTCAATGTTATTGAACTGCTTACGTCAACCGCTTCAAACTTGAAAACAACCCTGTATAGTTCAAATTCGGAAGAGTCATTGGCAAGGCATATATTGTATAGTGTGAATTTAGTAATTGTACTTAGATATTTAGTTATAAAGCGTTGTCAATAAACGATATATGATAACATTACAGACCTTGGACTTGAAATACAGTTTTTGTTATCATAGACAATGCATGTGAATTGCCTCCCTTCTGGATAACTGCATTTTCTTCCACAGCTAGAACAACTTGTGTAGACAAATACGTTTTCCAAAGCAGCACTTGGAATAATCGCCTGAATCCAATGCTTTTCCTCCATTAATGCATTTGCAGCCTGCATGAACGCGTCGAAGTAATATTAATATTAAACAGTTCTATGTAGTCGCCGAACGAATCTGTATACCTTTTTTTCTTTTAGCTCTTCAATTTTCTTCATGGATTGTTGTTGGGTGTAATCTCTTATTTGTAAAACTCTCGATTGTTTATCTTGCAGTAACTGCTTTTGTGCAACTACCTTGTAGAGGTATAAAGTATCAGAGCTGAACAAACAGTTTTTGTATATTAGTATCTAATATAGTTATTAGAATTACCATTCACGTAACATATTGGCTCTATCTCCTTTAGGGTCATGAATGATTCTCGTAGACATGGTAGTTGACAAGGCGAATGCTGAAAAACAAATGATATGTTAGTCCTTAAAATTCTAGATTAACATTAAGTGATTTGCTTTGTCTTATAATTTTCTAAAAGGAGTTTAACCTCTGCGAGGATTTTGTTTCAGTGTTGTGAATCCAACTACGCTGAATCTTTCGGCCCAAAAATTAAGGGCATCACTCGCAGTCCCTGAGAGGTCATTCCATGTAGAGATGGTCGATGGCTGGTTATGTCTGTAACATAGACAGAGCATTAGTGCTTGTTAGTTAATAATTTGTATAGACTGTATAATAATGTTAGAAAGCATCGTTCACTATTTTTTGTTTACATTTGGTCTGCAATAATGATTTCTCGGACATAGCCTTGGGTATTATATATGGAGGTGACCTGCCGTGCCGCTTCTTCTACAAATAATATCACACCCAATACATCTGTACAGTTACCGATGAAAAATAACATAAGAATGGTAAAAAACTATTGTATTTTAGATTTTCAAGTGTATACTATTATAATTGAAAAAACAAAAACTAAAATATAATTTCTATGATTCCAGGAAATTTGTATAATTTAGTTAAAATTTTTGACCATCAATAAGGTTTAATGTGATTTATATACACGTGTGGTAGAATATAAGTGATGAATTCTGTATAAGATAATACCGTATCTTCCATCAGCAATCTCCAATTTCGGGATTGAAGCTATTGACTGATATTGGGGTCCTACGTAACCAGTTTCAGGACATACAAGTCGAACAACTGTCCGGTGATTGAAATTGAGCTGATATGGTAAATGATCATTGACAGTACGATACTGATTGTCTACTGGCTTGACAGTTGCGTTAGAGATCTCGTACTCTCCATTGTATGCAATGGATTCGTCTTATGCTTTAATTTGATCTCCAAAAAGCGTCACACGCATCTTGTTATTCTAAAAAAAATATAGATACGGATTATTATTTAATGTATTGCCATTTATCACCTAGAGACAACATGCAATGTTTAAATTTCATTTGCATCCCCGACAACAAATATGAGATTTTAATTTCTAAAATCACATGTCTTTTAGTGGCAAGTATTTCGTAAATCGTTGGACATGGTTTTAGTACAAGTAATTGTATTAAAATATTTTCCCTATGGTAAAAACACCGGTAAAATAAGTGTATTATTTCGTATCGTGTAGTGAAGTATTTTTTAATAGATTATCATGTATTGTAGTTAGTGGCGGACTTGGGCTTAGCCCTGGTGGGTCAAGTGACTCACCAGGCCCAAAAAAAAATTTTAAGTTATTTTTTTTTAAAAAAAAAAAAAAAAAAAAAAAAAAAAACTAAAATCAGTTTTCCCCAAATGACCAAATCACGAATTGATTTCAAGCCCTAGCCTTCTTCAGTTCTTCTCTTCGCCAATTCGCCTCTTCCCTTTAATCCTTCATCAATCATCTCCAACTCCAATTCGCCTCTTCGCTAGTTCGCTTCGTCTTCCTCTTCGCATAATTTCAGGTTAGTAGATGCATCTTTCGGCTTTTTTTTTAATTTATTTATTTAATTGTTGATATTACTTGTTAGTTATGAATTAGTAATACTAAATTTGAACCCTAAATCCCTAATTGTTCAATAATCAACTCAATTTCAGAGAATTTTGCATTATCTGAAATTCTGAATTGTGAATTTGTGAAATGTTTGACACTTTGACAGTGCTCTTCGCAACTTCGCTAGCTTGCTCACGCCTCCAGTGCTGGCTGTGCTGCTGGCCTGCTGGCTGCTGCTCGCCTGCTGCCCTGCTCCACTGCTCCACTGCTCTGTGCTCTGTCCTCTGTGCTCACCGCTCTTCGCTTCGTCGCTTCTTCTAAAGTCTAATCTCCTATTCTCATTTTGCTAGTAAGTTGATTTCTAATTTTTAGTTTAAAATTCTAATCTTCAATTTAATTCAGTCTAATTAGTTAATTCTATTAAACTTTGGTTGATTTTGTTGTTGTTTGTTTGGTAAACTTTGAACCTTTTGTTAATGTTGTTGGGTTTTTGTCTTTTTGATGAAATTTGAACCTTTTTGACCATGTGATTATGTGAATTGTGGTTTGTTTGGTAAAATGATCTTTGTAAATAATTTTTATGGGGAATTTTGCTTGATTTAGTTGATTATTTATTCAAATTTCAGAATGAAGAGAAAACGCACTCCAAATGAAATGCAAAACATTACTAGCTTCTTTGCTAAAAAGAATCCTACTTCAACTTCTCTTCCACATCCAACACAAAATGAACAAACTATATCTCCACCTCAACAAAGTGAACAAACTATATCTCCACCTCAAGAAAGTGAACAACATTCATCTCCATCTAATTATTCAACTCAAAATTTCCCTCAAAATGAACAAGGCCAATGTTCTCCTAATGCCCCAATCTTTGGTGAAAGATTAAGTGAACATGAATTTGCTAATCTTCCACAAGATCCAGGAAAGAGGAGAAAGATGAGTCAATCTCATAAAGATGATAGAGATTTAGTGAGAAGAATTTACATTCAAAGAAAGCCTTGTCAGCCCAAAGACTTTATATTTCCTCAAACTTCTATTTTTGGCAAAAACCGTCGCTTTTGTGCTAAGTGGTTTGATACTTGGACTTGGCTTGAGTATAGTGTGGAAAAGGATGCTGCCTATTGTTTCCCTTGTTATCTATTCAAGGATGAAAATTCATTTGGAGGTGATGCTTTTGTTAGTGATGGTTTCAAATCATGGAATCGATCGGATTTAATAAGAAAACATGTGGGTAAGCACATGAATGCACATAATAATGCAGTGTTAGCTATGGATTTGTTCAAGAAGCAAAAGTCAAGCATCACACAAGCCTTGACAAAACAAACCGCTGAGAGTACAAATGCATATAGGAAGCGACTTGAAGCTTCAATTGAATCAATCCAATGGCTTTTACTCCAAGGGTTGCCTTTCCGTGGTCATGATGAAAAAGAAAGTTCCTTAAGAAGAGGTAACTTTCTTTCACTTTTATCCCTTATTTCCAAAGGTAACCCTGAATATTCTAAAGTTGTTTTCAAAAATGCTCCTAGTAATTGTCAACTTACTTCTCCAAAAGTCCAAAAAGATATCATAAATGCATGTGCAAAAGAGACAACTAAAGCAATGGTTGAAGATATTGATGGTGGTTTGTTTTCTATCCTTGCTGATGAGTCCGCTGATGTTTCTGACAAGGAACAATTGGCTCTTTGTTTGAGATATGTTAATAGAAAGGGAGAAGTGTGTGAGCGTTTACTTGGTATTGTGCATGTTGTAAACACTGCTTCTTTGACTCTCAAAACTGCTATTGAATCCTTATTAATGGAGCATTCTTTGTCTTTCTCTCAAGTACGGGGTCAGGGTTATGATGGGGCAAGTAATATGCAAGGTTCTATTAATGGCCTTAGGACTCTTATAGAGAATGAGTGTAAAGAAGCTTATTTTGTCCACTACTTTGCTCACCAACTTCAATTGACTCAAGTTGCACTTGCTAAAAAGAATTCAGATTGTGCTTGGTTATTTGTTGATGTACTTGCACCTCTGTTGAACTTTGTGGGGGGTTCACCAAAAAGGAAAGAGTTTCTTCGTGAAAATCAAGCTCAAAGTTTGTGGATGCTTTGTCTCTAGGTGAACTTGAAACGGGTTCAGGTTTAAATCAAGAACGTGGATTAGGTAGACCTTGTGATACTCGTTGGGGATCTCACTTCAAGACAATCTTGAATGTACTTGATTTATTCCCTGTAATCCTTGGTTCTCTTGAGGATATTGCAAAAGTATCTGATACAATAGATTCTAATAGAGCTCAAACACTTACAAATCTTCTGATGTCCTTTGATTTTGTGTTTGTGGCAAACTTGATGGTTAGTATATTTGAGATAACAAATGCTTTGAATGTGGCCTTACAAAAGCACGATCAAGACATTGTGAATGCAATGGCCATGGTTAATGTAACCAAGACTAATTTGCAAAAAATGAGAGATGAAGGATGGGATTCTCATATGGAACAGGTCATTTCTTTTATTGGTGACTATGACATTGCAGTTCCAGATATGGAGGCTAAATATGTTGTTCCCGGGAGGAGGTTGTTTCGAGGTAAATGCCCACAAGTGTCTAATTTACATCATTTTTGAGTTGAAGTTTTTTTTGGTGTCATTGATCTTCAATTGCAAGAACTTGAAAATCGATTTCCCAAAATAACTAAAGAACTACTTGTGTGTATGTCTTGTTTGAGTCCTGTGGATCGTTTTTCTAAGTTTGACAAGGAAAAATTGATTAAGCTTGCGAAATTCTATCCTAATGAATTTCCAAGTTCAGAATTGATAGTCTTTGGTCATACACTTGAGAGTTACATTTGTTCTGTTAGAGGAGATGAAAGGTTTTGGAATTTGAAGGGTCTTAGTGAGCTTTCAATCAAATTGGTTGAAACGGGATTGTCTGAAACTCATGATAGGGTCTATTTACTTTTGAAGTTGGTGTTGCTTCTTCCTGTCGCAACGGCAAGTGTGGAAAGGGTATTTTCTGGCATGAAGCAAGTGAAAGACAAACTACGAAATAGCATGGGGGATCAAATGTTGAATGATTGTTTAATTACTTATTTGGAGAATGATTTGTTTTTGAATGTTAGCATGGAAGATATCATGAATCGATATCAAAACATGAAAACTCGTCGAGAACTATTGTAATAAGTTTGCATTACTATTTAGTTGTCTTTTGTAGTATTATATGAACATTTGGTTGTATTTTGTACTGTTTGAATATTTGGATGTATTTTTTAGTACTATTATTTGGTTGTTCAATAATTTTTTTTTTACATACTTGATTATCGATTGTGACCCACCAGTCGGAAATTCCTGGGTTCGCCACTGATTGTAGTCCGTTTCAGATTCCGAAATGTAGCCGATTGAACAGTAAAGTTGTTGTAGTCCAATCAATGTATGTCGTTAAATCACCTTTATTGTTAACATACCTTAAGGAAATATTTCAATCATGTGATTGCATGTTTTGCCTGTAAAGTGGTTTATAATAAACGACCTATATTTGCTCTTTAGTTTATGAGAAAAAAAAATTGAACCCGATCTTGTTGAACAAACGTGATTAATAATATTCATAAGTAGGATAATTTTTCATCTAGTAAATATAACGTCTGAAAGATAATTGCTTTGGAGTTGGAAGATATCCTCTGGCCTTTTCAACGACCTTCACCTTGACAGTGAAATTATTGGAATTAGGATTTAGCTCATCGAGATATAACCGTTCCGTTTTCATCCTAAAAAAAAACGCATTATGTGTTAGAAATATAATGTTTATACCATATTATAATATTTTGGTATTTTGTAGGTATTACTACTTATAAAAACCATGCGTTTTTTATAAAATCTAATGCAGTGAACATGTTAAAATTTTATAATATGTATGAAATTCACACAAATAGTAGTTGCGTAAATTGTACATATGTTAAATGGATGAAGAAGATAATACGTTTGATTATTTTTCTCGTCTATTTGTACCTTGTAATTCAACCTTGCACGAATACTATAAGCCTTGTTGCCGATTCGTAGGATTCTTTTGCTAGTGTTTCGAGGAGAAGTAAAAGTAAGTTTATATTTTTTTGTGATTGTAATGATAAGTTTAGCTAATGATGAAGTTGATGTATTTACATATACACATATATATAGTGTAAAATGTAGCGGCATGCAAATAACCAAAACATTAATAATTATCTCTTTTTATAAAAGAAAGGAAATTTGTTGTTAAATATATTGCAAATTAGTTTAAATTTATTTTTTAAATGTGAAAAAAGACTAAAATACTTGATAATATTGAACATAGGTAAATGTGAGAGTAAATTTGAACACATCTAATTTTATATTTAAATTTTATCAATAAAATATCATAAGAGGTCGTTTTTATTCTATCAATAAAACATCTAATTTTATATTTAGATTTTTTTTTAGTGTTTTTGTTATGTAGCATATGATAGCTTCATTTATGAATTATAAATTTTATTTTTTCAGAATACTGATTTATTATCATATTCGTTAGATATTATACAAATTAATTAAAATAAATGAGATTTTGAAATGATTTTTTTGAATCTAAATCTTTTTACACGCATATCAACACACGTAATTGTTTTCTGTACCCATTGAATAGTCTAATCTCTTCGATCCTTCTCACTCCTCCTCCTGAATCGTTATTTCATCCATTATTTAAACCACTCTGTTTTCCTATTTTCTTTATACTCCTATTCTGCCTTCATCTTAACATATTTTTTTTTTTATTCTATATTTTAGTAAAAGGCCGCCCAAAAGAAATTGTTCTGCTTTCAGTTCGTTGTTCTCTCACAGTAGGTACTTGTAAATATAGCATCTTTTTTAAAATAATTCGGCTGCCGATGGATATTCAGGCCAACTTTGTGCCTGATTATGAAAAAAGATGCTATTTTTCAAGTACCCGGTGTGAGAGAAACCTTTCAGCCATATAGCACGCTTTATTGATCTTACCCCTTGTTTTTTTTGTTTGGATTTTTAGAATGCGTATAATTTATACTATAGTAAATACATGACGTTTGGCTTTTAAGTAATATACGTAATAATTCTTGTAAAAAAAAAATAATATGTAACAATTGTTTGCTATAGATACGTCTAGCTGTTATATGTACTTGCAATTGTATGGTTGCTAATAAGGTTCTAACATCAAATTATCTTTTCCGTTCTTCTTCATTCACATTTCAACTTACTCATTTATCATTTTTTGGTTAGATCTGATAAACACTTTAGAAATGGCGAGCACTGATAGTACTGCAACTTCGGGAGAAGTTTTTAATCATCCTGCGTGGAAGCCAACGGTAGGGAACTCTAATAAGGAGAAAATTTTAAGTTTTGTATTGTATTTTGCTAGCACGACAAAGAAGATGAATAGTCATTTAGAGATCTTGTTGCGAAGCACTGCAAACTCGGAGAAGAAATTTGAGAAAGGAGAACAAAATAGCAAAAGAAAGGGATATGCTGTTGATGCCGGAAGTCATGCAAAAGTGATTATTATTGATTCAAATGAAGCTGTAGAAAAGCGTGCAACGACAAATATACTGATAGCTAGGGAAGTAGGTGAGGGTGACAAAGTGTCCGATTCAAAATTCTGATAACGGGAATTGCAATGTTTAAGAGAAAAATTGTAATTTAAATTTGCAGCAATGGATTTCAAATACTAACGTTCATTTTAATTCTATTTTTTCTAAAAAAAAAAAGTGAAGCTATATTAATAATAGTTTTATGAAATAACGTGTTTTCTATCTCTTAAATTTCAATTGTTGTTTTATTAATTACTTATGTTTGATGTAAACGTTTCAGTAATTAGTATCATCTTAGAAGTCATTTTCGAAAAAAAAAAAAATTAAAATTTTGGATAAAGCACTTCATAACCTCCGTTGCATAGTTTATGCCGAAGAAATTTAAAATTGTTGTAGTGGATATGTTACCGAGTCATGGAGTTTTAAGCGAAATGCAAGTCACGATGCTTAAAGGTTGAAAAGACGGACTACAATTATTTTTTTTTCTGTCCCTTTTTTTTTGTTTTTGTTTTTTTAAGGTTAATTTATAACAGTTACTCCGGAAAATTATTACATGATGGTAGCAAATAGCCGAACACATTTACATATTGCCTCAAATTTCCAACACTTTTTCATCTTTAAGGGCATCCGGTTTCGTCATATTGACGAGACCGAGGTATAAGATTCAATATCCTAAGTACGGTTACTGAAACATAGTTTTAAGCTGAACGCTACATCCGATATTCCAATTTTACACAATCACATTACAGTATAATACAATTAATTTACAAATATCACTTTTTAATTCACTACATGATCTATTTTATATTTTTTTATAAATATTATTTTTCCCTTTTGTATTCGAATCCATTAATAAAAATTAGAATATATTATTTCATTAAAGTAGAGGCTGAACGAAACAAATTAAACTGAAAGTATTATCTTTAAAGAAGGTGTGTAGTCAAAAAACTGTCGACGAATTTAGCCGAAAGTGTCTGTATGTCATAGCCGAATATTCGTAATAATGCCGAAACTTTAACCGGCTGAAATTTAAATAATATTCAAATATTTTTAAAGTTTTCCCCTTTCATCCTAATTCTGAAACGAACAACTATGGTGTTTAGTATTTATAATCCGAAGCAAATTATATTAAACTTTCGATCTTTAAGCGTTATTATTTAAAATAGTGATTTATTGAGATGCAGATGACGAAATAGGTTGATAGAGGACAGAAAAAATGATTGCTTAAATAATGAATAAAATGATTACATTAAGAGGAGCGAGAAGGTGAAAAGGTAGGGTGAAGAGATGTGATTTGACAATTCAATTAAAGAAGTCAGTAGATATTAAGTACCGATGCACTGTTATTAACTAATATGACTCATTCTTTGGGAATCAACATCTATAATACAGGTGCGTTGAATTTTTTTCCTTTTGAAAATTACCCGCTTTTAAAATTTCCAACACTTATCTTTTCAGCCCTAATCAAATGCGTATAAATACTTTGTTAACTGTAAAGACTTTTCATAAATGTTGGAAATCATCTTCAAAAAAAAAAAAAAATTCGAAATCTTGTTTACGATATACCTAAACGTATTCTTATTAATTATTATGTTCTCTTTTTCTTTTTTTTACAGTCTTGTTTATGTTAACACATTCACTATGTATCCCGTAATAAAGTATACCTTATTGTTTTCAGATTTATTAACTGTTTGTTTATTATTTTACGTGTAAAAAGTGATTTAATGTCGTTTTGGGAAATGTGATTAAACAGGATCTTATTCGTTCCAAAATAAGTAACGACTGTTCATATTGGATATTAATTTTTTTTTGGGTTTTTCTACGTTATGACCCCGTTTTTCGCTTTTTCTACGTTGTGACATGACATTTTTGATTTTCTACGCTGTAACCCTAAATTACCAAACGTTTCTACGTTGTGACCCTGCCGTTAAGTTGACGTTAGTGTCTGCCGTTAAGGTAATGGGAGTGCGTACTGTTAGGATGTTAGGCTGCCTCCCTCCTTTCTTCTTCTTCTTGTTTGACTGAGATGAGCTGCCACCCCTCCCCCTCCATTTCCAGCGACCCCACCTCCTTCGTCAGCCACCCCTCCCCCTCCATTTCCAGCGACCCCACCCCCTCCCCTTCCCCATCCCCACCACCACCCAAAGCCAAACCTTAGAACCACCATCCATAACCACCAGACAATCGCGACCATTGCCCCCTTGACCATCTCCCTTCCCCCACCCTAGCCGGACTCTCCTGCCCTGGTTTCGGCCCGCCGCCGCTCCCAGACCCATCCCCTTCCCCTCGTTGGCGCTTCCCCTTCCCCTCCCCCCTAAACCACCGAAACCCCCACCACGAAACCCCCCAATTCACCAACAAAACACCACCGATCTGATAGTTTCAAAAAAAAAAAAAAATTATCTGATTTGTTAAATAATTCGAGCAAGCAATTAACCACAGACTCCGATTAAGTTGATGCAAGGCGGTTGGAGGTTTTATGCGGTGGAAGGAGGGTTTTTTTTAGGGATTTTTCGGGGAAGGGAGAGGGGTTACGTGGTGGATTTTTGGTGGTTAAGGGGCGACGCTTGAAGTTTCTGGGCGGTTGCCGGCACAAGGGGGGTCTAAGCGCGGCCGGGAATGGGGGCTGCGGCGGAGGACTGGGCGTGTGGAGGCAGGGAGGTGGCTGACGAAGGGGGTGGCTGGAAGGTGGATGACGGAGGGGGTGGCAGTGGGTTGGCTGGAAGGTGGATGGACGGTGGTTGGGCCCCACTAACGGAAATAGTTAAAGTTAACGGAAGCAACTAACGGCAGGGTCACAACGTAGAAACGTTTGGTAATTTAGGGTTACAGCGTAGAAAATCAAAAATGTCATGTCACAACGTAGAAAAAGCGAAAAAAACGGGGTAATAACGTAGAAAAACCCTTTTTTTTTAAAAAAAAAAAAATAATGAAGCAGTTAAGAGTGGAAGTTATAAAGGTAATGGGAAGTTATTTTTTCAAAAATAAGTTACGACGTTCACATTCGATAATGACTGCCTTCATATCTGCAGTTATTTTATCACGTGTAAAAAGGATTTAGTGTCGTTCCGAGAAATATGATTAAACAGGATCCTATTCGTTCCAAAATAAGTGACGACTGTTCACATTCGATAACGCCCGACTATATATTTACAGTTATATTATCTTGAACACTATTCTGCTATTTTGTGTTCGTCACTATCATCCTTTAATTTAATACCCTTTCAATTAAAATTCAAAGTATGAGTAACATTATTACTCCCGTAGGAGAGACAGATTTCATTAGTAATCTACATGATACAATATTGTGTCATATACTCTCGTTTTTATCAACAAAGTCTGCTGTTAAAACATGTGTACTATAAAAAAGATGGAAGAAAGTATGGACTCAAGTTTCTGTACTTGATTTCACCGATGTACCAGAATATTATCGCCCATTGTGTGACGAGGCAAAAATTTGTTACAATAACTTTGTGGATAAGGTTCTAGTTGAGAACAATACATCTTATCTACAACGTTTCTGTTATGAATTCTCTTGTGATGATGACAGTGAAAGATACGAGTCATGGTTGAATTCTGCAAAGAGACGTGAATATTTTGAGATTGATTTGGATTTTACTTTGGGTGGAAGTCGAAGTCATAGGTTTATAGAGTTGATTTACGGAAAGAGAGTAACGGTATTGAAACTAACGGGTGTGAAAATCTGCGGTACTCCAGAGTTTTTTCATCTACCGTGCCTTAAGGTTGTCCACCTTATTAAAGTAAAGTTTAACGGGAATGACTATATGAAGAGATTGACATCAAATTGTCCATCTCTCAGAAAATTTTTTATCAAAGAATGCACTGGTTTGGACGATCTATTGTACGTGGAGTCTCTGACATTAAAGTCTTTAGAAATTTGTGATATCGTGAGTCAAGCTCTAGGAAGATCTCTGAGTATTAACATTAAAGCACCGAATCTCGAGTACCTTAGTTTCGATGATGAAGTAACACATTATATGGTTGATAGCCTGGACTTGCTTACTCAGGCAAATCTTAATCTTAGGGACAATTTTCCGGTCAGAGTTAATGAATATGGAAGCAATTATGATACTTATCAAGATATAAATTATCTTATAAACAAAGCTTCCAAAGTTGATTCTTTGAGGCTTAAAACTTCCGAGGTAAGTTTATACTTCTTCAATTTTTTTGTATAACATATGATACTGACATATTGACGTAGCTTATTGCGTACCTTTAAACTGATAATATTCGTTTAATTTTGACGCAGTTTTTCATCAATGAGAGAGAGCTACCAACCTCCGGAAACTTGACTCGTTTGGAAGTGAAGGACGATGGTTGCACCTACGAGTTACTAAAACAAACTCCTAAGTTAAAATCGCTGATATTCGAGGAAGTAAGTACATAAGAATTACACCTTGGTTTATTTTCCTTTTGTAACCTAAATTAAATCAGTTTTAATCTAATCGTGTCTAAATATTTGGTATTTATTTCGCAGGTCGAATGGATTGATGACTCTCTAAGTTATTTAGCCGAAGATGGTTGTATATCAAGCCTTAAACATATTACAGTCTTCTTGGACAATGTATGCCAAGTAAGTCTTGTCGCGTGTGTGTTAAAGGCTGCAACAACTCTGGAGGAGATGACTATTAATCTGTGTTGTCCGGAAATCTCCGAGAGACGGATATTACAAGAGTTATTTGCTTTACCCAAACCATCACCGTTCTTCGGATTTGAAGTTGTTTTTGTAAAAGAAATAATGGATCCTCAAACAAGCCTGTTAATCAATTAGATGTAGATTACTATTTTACCTTTTATTTAGTAACTACATTAATATTTAAATGTATATATATGTTAAATATACTGCGGTCTCTCTCTTTTTGTTTTGTTTTTTTTTTCCCCTTCTTAAAATATTCATCAAATATTCTGCTTTACTTATTAAAACTATACATATCACCATTTGTATTATTTCGTGTATAATTAGCATTTTGTAGGTACATTACATTAAGTGATTACATTAATAGGACCGAAAAATTGAAAAGGTGTAGTGAAAAGTTGTGATTCGACGATCTAATTAAAGTAGATAATCAGTATTAAGCACCGATGCACTGTCATTGACTAATATGACTCAATCTTTGGCAATCAATGTCTATAGTATAAGTGTGTTGCATTTTGACTGTTTAGAAAATAAAAATGATTTGTGATCAAATTTGTTTGTACAATTGCCACAGTCAATCATTATTTTAGTACATTTACCCCCAAACCAGTGTCTAGTTCCTCTATTTACCAAGTCTTGTTTGGTGTATTTGGTGAAGAATTCATTTTATAAGTCGAATACTTAACCAGGAAAACTGTGAATGTTGAGGTATATTCAGAGTCCTTCTCACCATAAAAAGACGTAAGAGTATATAGTTTATTTATATCGTATGGAGTTGTATAGGCTCTGTTCTGTTGACTTTATTTCTGCTTATTTCAGGGTTAATAATTTAAAATAAGTTTAGACGAAAGGTTAATAAGTTCAGAGAAGATAATAGTTCAGGAAAAATAAGTTCAGATAAGTTGTGATAAAGGTTAATCAGGGGCTACTCAAGGTTAATTTATAACTAAAGTAAGTTCTAATAAAGGCTAGTAAGTTCAGATAAGTTCAAATAAGATCAAATAAGTTCAGATTCGCAAAAATCAGGTGTATAAAATACACCTTTATAGGAAATTAATCAGAGCCTTTAGAGGAGAAATTACCGTTTAGATGGTCTAATGGATAGAAAGCGTTGAGTAGAAGAGGAAAGGTCAGGAAAAAATAGAAAAGGAAAATACGAAAGGGCTAAATATGTATGAGTAGAAAAATCGGAAGACTGTAATTAAAAACTAAAATTAGTCTGAATTATTTTATTATTCACTGGGGTACGCTGAAAGCGCTTATGTACACAGTTATATCTAAAAAGAAATTATTCGTCTGAAATAGTGTTCATCGGCTGTCTTTAAGAGGTTTAAGATTAAATTTTAATGTCGTTTTTTTTTTCGGGGAGTTATAGAAACAATCAAACAGTTATCTGTACCCGTACTTGTAAGGTTTGTTCGTTACAAGTTTCAGCAGATTTAATACAGGTTTTTGTTAAAATGAATTAAAATGGTAAATAAGAGGTAATAGGTACTAAAAAGTTACGAAGACATAAATGACGAAAAATTACCATCACGTAATGTCAGAAAAACACAAAAAAAATCTTAACAATTTGCATAAAATGTGATTATCATTCATAATCATGAAGGTATCTCGTAAGACATGTATCTCGGATTACGTAGTGGCTTACATATTACAAAGGTAAGTAACGCATACCCTTAACCGTCACCTGAACTATGGCTTTTCATAATCTATAACTCTTAAAATTTGAGGAATTCACCCCCCTCTATAATTTACATAAAATGTAATAATCATCTATAACCATGAAGGTGTATCGAAAAGCTTGCATTTCAGCCGATGTGTTATCTTCCAGTATAAACCAGATGCCGCCCCGCCTACTTTATCCTTCGGATATTCCAAACGTTTTTTATTGTTCGGCTCCAAAGGTGGAGAATTGCCGACTATCTTCCATTAGTTGCTTAAAGTTACAAGCTCCATATTCCTGCAACTCTAATAACTGCTGATGACAATCTCAAAACCTTTCCCGTCCACAATGGTACTTGTAAATATAGCATCTCTTTTAAAATCTAATTACATTGTTTTGGTAGTATCATCTTTGAATTCCGATAACTATTTTTCGGTTTGTTCCTTTTTAGGCGTTAATATTTTTTGCTCTGTCACTAATTTCTCTCTCTTTGTATAATTCCCGGACTATCACATCTTTCTCTCTCAAATTTCTCCACTCCTTCCTCTTTCAAACCCCCTCCTCAATCTGTAATCAAAGTAGAAAGGGAGAAAAAAATGTGCATTAACATGGATCAGTTATTTAATGTTTAATGTTCCGCTATTTTGTAGCATAAGTCAAAGGAGAATGGAAAAAAAAACGGAAAAAGTTTAACCTAAATATCACCAAGTTGATAAATTTCTGGCGAACTCATAACACCAAAACGATTAAACACCCTAGATTCTGAACTTATTACGACTCTTAATAATTCCAGAACATAGATTCTGTATAAATAAAATGGAGAAATTTTTAAGTCTGAAGGAAAGAGATGAATTCATTAGAAATAAAACAGAGAGAAAGAGGATTTTGTTCTAAACTATAAGATATTTCGTAATTAAATTGGAAAAAAGCTGAAAACTGACGACCAGAATCTGGAAAACAAATTACAAACTGCTATGTTAACAAATTTTGAAGTGTAAAAAGCGAAATAGGTGTATAGGGAGTAGAGAGAACGTCTGCTTAAATAATAGATAAAGTGATTAGGTTAAGAGGAGTGAGAAGGGGAAAAGGCAAAGGGCAGACCTGTGATATGACAATTCAATGAACGAAAACAAGTACCAATGCATGTATCTGGTAATAGAGATGCAGAAAATTACTTTACAGGCTGGAAAAGGTGCTAACATAAATATACGAAATTATTCTGAAAAGAATTTATCACAATTTTATTATATCTAGTACGGATCTAAATACCCATTCTTTTTTTTATTTTACCGCTATTTCTCTATTCGTCCGTTTTGTAAATATTTTATTTTAATTTTAAAAGTATTGTCCTGTTTCCTTCTTTTTTCATGTATTAACTTAAAATTTTTACTGTAAACGTAAATTTTTTAAATAAGATATAGATCAATGTTAAGATAAGCTATATTGAATGCTAATCTCGAGTTTAATTGTTATTCGTATCTAGATTTGACCATTATAATAAATTAAGAATTCTCGTTAATAAATTTTTCGTAGTTAGTTTAAATTTACAGAAATCTATACTTGATACTGGCCGTTGGATCTTCGGATTTCATTATAGGAATAGCCTTTTTTAGGGTTCTTTATTTTTAATAAGATTACAAGAATAGCCGTTTGTTCTTCTTGGAACTTTGACTTCCATTTTTTTTGCACAACGTTTTTTTTTTCTTTTTATATATAATTAGAATATTGTACAAGGATTTTATTTTATATATGATTAAAGTTATCAGTATGCCCTTGTTTTGGACTTGACTATATCTTTGGTTTCAAAGTTGTTTAAAAAATTGCGAATTCATAACACCACTTATTGATTTTAAATTTTCTTCAGCTAAGATAATCCAAAATGTTAACCTATTCCGTTATATTTTCCCGTTGTACAAAGATTCGATTTAGGCTGATTCGCTCCTCTGTGGTTTATTTTGTAATTTTTTTAAGATATACTAAAAAAAGTAAGACAAAAAGGTAATCAACTAATACAAAGATGATGATGACATAAATTACAGGAGATTATCATCAAACACTGCCGTAGACGAAAAAAAAAGTTCTCAGTAATTAGAATTAGAAGAAAATGTAATAATCATTCACGATGATAAAACATGTCAAAGAACACGGGTTTCAGCCGATATAATGTATTTGCGTTAAAAAACGTCGATGAAGGTATGCTGAAGATCACATGTTTCGATTTTTGAATTACTGACGAACCCGCTCCTTCTCCTCACACACTTTCCTTCGGCTGCGTTGGTATCGGCTCCTCTAGTTTTTCTACCTGCCCTTCCATTCTCTATCTTCTCCGCATTCTGTACTTCCTTTCTCTTTCCTTCTCCGTAAATATTTAATATCTTTCTCTTTATTCCATGAGCAGCGAACCTCTCGATTTATCTAAACTTCCCATACCTTCTCGATTTCTCATTTTCGCTCTTCCTTCCCTAATCTAAAATCAAAAATCAACAACCCCCAAGAAACCCAATTGAATTAACAAAATAAAATTGTAGATTTTTTTTTATTGAATTTGTACAGCACTGTAGATACTGTTCCTAAGAGAAGGAACTATTCATAAGGTATTCCCTCTCTTTTCTCATGAGAAATATGCATTAGGTCGTAATACTACTATTTGAGTGCCAACTTGAGAAGCATTATCATGGATCACTGCATGCAAAATGTATTTATTCTAGCCATCAAAGTGCTTTCGCACTTTGTCGGTAAAAAAAACATCGACATTGAATACTTGTAAATATAACATCTCTTTTCAGATCTAATAACACCATTATGGTGATATCAACTTAAGACTTTGATAACTAATTTTCGGCTAATTCCATCTTATTTGTAAACATACTTTTATCCCATATCTAAATTCTCTTATGCTCCGTTTAATTCATGAACTATGTCATCTTTTTTCCCTCAAATTTCTCCAGTCCTTTTTTAAAATCTCGTTATTTTTTTTATATTGGTGGCGAAATCCTTACGAACGGATGAATATAAAAGTTTGAGAGAAAAAAGATGAAATAATTCGAGAATCAAATAAAGAGAAAGAGGATTTAGTTATATTTCAAACCAAGATTTCCTTTTTTTTCATATAAGATGGAAAAAGCCGAGAATTGGTTGTCGAAATCTCTTACTTGTATAATTTTAAAGTATTTGATCTACGTTTTGGAGATAGTGGACTCTGTTTTAGGTGTTATTGGTTTTAAAGAACAAAATTTTGAGATGTGGATAATGAAGGAGGTGGATAGTAAATAGATAAAACGCTTGTTTAAATAATAATATATAAAGTGATCAAGTTAAAGAGGACAACGAGGTAAAATAGGGGAGTGAAGAGACACGATTTGACAATTCAATGAATGTAGACAGTAGGTATTAAGTACGTATGTACGTATTAGGTAATAGGAACGCATGTGGACAGTAGGTATTAAGTACCTATGCATGTATTAGGTAACAGGAACACGTAAAAATACACTACAAATTGTAAAGGTGTTAACAAAGTATCTAAATATTCGGTAACTATTTATTATTTGTTTTTTTTTTGGGTTCCAATATTTATCGGATACGAAGGATAGTATTTCATTTTGTAACTATATTTCCATTACTCTATTATCAATGGAAAAATACGATTTAAATTAATGTTCAGATAAGTTTCACTGAATAGTTTTAATTTAAACTGTATTTAAATAATTGTTTAACGTAATTATTTTGGAATCTAAGGTAACTATAAAGAGGTCGTTACATTGAAATGTAATATGTGTAGAGATGCAATTTAAATTACGTTATTTAAAAGAAGCTTTAAAAAAGAATTTTTAATATAGATAACTAATAAGCTATACCTATGCAGAGTAATTAAATCTATATAAAAATTAATGAAGTGACTGGATCGACATGAGTTAGAATGTGAAAAAATAAAGTGAATAATCGTGATTTAATAATTCAATTATTGCTGAAAATTATGTTCAAGTACACATGCACGTATCTTGCGAATTGAGATACGTATAAATAAAACTATAAATGCACAGGTAATTGAAAAGATTTTCTACAATTCTGGTAAAGACGAGAAATTATATTCAGGAATAATTTATTAAATCTTACTTAATAGACATATAAAACTATATTTATTAAATACTACTTTTTCTTT